GGAAACAAGTCAACTGGTTGAAGAAGGAGCATTGGGTAAAGGAGATAAATCAATAAGTGAACCTATTTTTATCATTTCCCTAATGATTGTCTTGAAGCTGCTAGACAGGGAAAGGGAGAGGCGAGCTGGAGCGACATAAGTCCTCATTAATGGGCTCAGAGGGAGAGAGGAGTGGGGTGGTGTTTGGGGAGACCAATAGGAGAGTTTATGAAGTGAGGTCCCAGTGAGCAGGCAGGGGGCCTGGGAGGGGAGTGTCTTGGGAGTTTTCAAAGTGCTTTTCATGGTCTTCCCCTCATTTGCTCTGGCCCATCCCTTTGTTCTCTTGTTTTTATGCTGTCAGAAATCTTATTCTGATTCCCATGACTGTCACCTTCCTCTTTACCCTCACCTTTTTTTTCCCCTCTCAATGTCTATAGCTTTAATTGATTTTATGATTATAAATTAATACATGCTCATTATAACACTTAGACAATGGATAAAGGAGCAAAGAAGAAAGTGGAAACAGCCCTCCTGCCCAGAAAAGCTCATTATCCTTCCAGCAAGACAGAATTTCCTCTTTCCCTCTTTTTCTCTTTTAACATTAAAGGCTCTTCTATGCATGATGGTTTCTTTTTTTTTTCCCCTTGTCATTTTTTTTAATAGATAATGGATGCCCACAGTATACAAAGCTCAAATGGGTATATAATGTAGAACGAGTATGGGCTACCTTTTATAAAGAAGGATACCTCAGGCTTCCATTTCCCTGTGCTATTCATTTATAACTGACTATTAATTTATTAATTAAATAAGTTTTTGGATACCCACTATATACAAACACAATGCTGGACACCAGGGATACAGAGGTGAACAAGATAGGCAAAGTCTCTAGCCTCAGGTTCCCAGGCCTCACTATTTCAGGAGCTGTGTCTGTTTTGAATCTTAAAACACAAACAATCCGAACAGCAGGAAAGGGCACACTTGTTCAAAACATGCTTCATGTCAGGCATTGAGTATGCTGGGAGATGCTGGATTCCTGGGCAGAAAGGAGACCTTTCACTGTGCCTTTGCATATGATTCCATGCCGTGAAGAGTTCAAAGGCATGAGATCCTCCTGGAAGCCATGACAATGTGGAGCTTCTTTTGAGTTTCCTAAGTCTCATCCTTGTGTCACCTGTGAGGTACAGTATCATGACCCATGCATGGGCCATTATTCGTAGTCCAGATTTGTCTTCCCTTTGGGGATATAGCAGGCCTCTGCCGCTGGGTTTGAAGTTCAGCTAGCAGGAAGAAAGGGAGTCAACCTGCGATGTCAGGAATCAGCCTGAGCCAGAGTGACTACTCAGTGGGCTTCCTCACCTTCATTCGTTCCTTCATTTAGCAGCTCCTGTTGTGTGTCAGGGCCTCTGCCAGTGGGCAGATAAATGAAGCACCTTCTTTAAAGGTGTAGTTTCTTGGGGTAGGGAGACAGAAAAAAATAGTGCAAAACAAAAATAAAAGACATACTGAAAAATGCAATGCAAAGAGGAATGCAGCCCAGGAAAACCTCACAGTGACGTTTTGACTTGGACCTGGAGTTTGATCAGAAGGGAGGAGAGAGGGTACTGCAGGTGACAGCAAAGGCGCCTGGTCAGTACCTGTCCTTTATACATTCTTCAGGATGGAAGTAGAAAAGAACTTACAGACAAGGGCTGTAAGGAGACGGGCTGGCCAGGCAACATTGCAGATTTGCTTCGCTCACCTCCCCTGAGAATTTCTGGTTTCCATCCTCTTTCCCCAGCCTTGTAGATACATGGGATGGATCTCCATGGTCTCACCTCGGTTTCTACACCACAATCTTACTACCCACTGTGAATTCATCCTGTGTTCTAGATGTCCTAAAGGGACATCCTTGTCAAGGATGTATGCATTTAAGCAGTTTTCAAAATTGTAAGATAAAAGATTGAAGCTTTGAATGAATCTCTAGACATCAAACAGGAGGCAGAGGATTTGAGTGGGGGAGGAATTGCAGATAAAGTATTTTTAGAACCTATGAATTGCCAAACTCTCACTTTCTGATTCTATTCTCTGGGGCCTTGGACAGGACAGTCTTTGAGACCTCGTGACTTTTCAGGCATCCAGATACCTGGCCATTTGAAATTTGACTTATCAGTTCCTCCATCCAGGAGCACTCCTGTCCTGCGCGTCCTGCAGTGGCGATAGCCATGATGTTCTGGGGCTAATTTGAGTTTCCAGTGAGCCTTACATATATATCTGCCTGTGGACTTTCTATACTAATGGAGCTTAAAGGTGCTAGCAACACTGAGATAGTCTGGCTAGACAGATGCCAGTGGGACAAGGAGTGAGGGGTGGGTATTGCTGTGGAGAATAGTCTCAGGGTGTACAACTGCCAGGACCTGTCTTGCCTGTTCATCTACTTTTAGATGTATGGTTGTTACTTTCATGCAAAGAAGACTAAACCCTCAGAAGTTTTGTTAAGAGAGAAGATGGGGTATGACATGAGAGAGACACTAGTTTTATTTCAGTTGGAGCCACCAGCCCTCTTTCTGCTCATCTGGAGGACTGGCAGAGGGACTTGTCCTGTGTTAGGGTTTCCCAAGTATGTTCCTATGAACAGCATTCCCAAGAGAGATACTCTGAAAAAGAAATTTATAAGGCTAAACAAATGGATCCACCATGTCCTGTTCCCAACCACGTGTGTGTGCGCATGTGTGTATGTGTGTGTGTGTGTGTGTGTGTGTGTGTGTGTGTGCATGGAGGTGGGGGCATTCTGTATATAGTAGTATTGAAAGGTGCAGGAGGTCTTGCTGGGAAGAAGCCTACTCAGCTTTATTTAACTCAGGCTTTCCCTCATTTATTTGATTGCAAGTTCCTATAGCACTAGTATTTCATGGCCTACATTGTAGGCACTGTGCTGTAAATGCTCTCAGAGTCTGTTGTCATTCATCGTGAGTTGAAGGCATACGATTAGTTCTTTTTCTGGACCTATCTCCTAGCCCATTTTCAGCAAAGGGCATGGAATCCTCAGCCACCGTTTCTGGCATGTTCTCACCTCCATTTTATCCGATAGATCTGGGGAGTTCAAATGTCTCCATCAACCCCAGGACAGCCTGGCCCTCACAGGGCCTTGTGTCCTGTCCTTGCTCCTTGTCTCAGGGCAGCCCCTTGTCGCTGTGTATTTGGTCATGGGAAGGAAGAACTCTCACACTGTGCTCAGGGAGTTTGGTGTCCCTGACTGGGTGTGTTGGTGGACTTGACCCGAGAAGGTAGACACTTGATCTAGGTGTGTGCTTGTGCTACACTTAGTTCTCAGAAATCAACGGTGGTATCCAGAGAGTTTGAAGGAGGAAGAATGGTTGGGGTGCTGATGGGGTTCTCATTGTTGTGGCTCCCCTCTGGCTCGGAGGGCTCAAGCAAGCGCAGTGGGATGTGGAAGTAGGAGTCCGGCTTCAAGGTCCTCTGAGGCTCACCCAGAGGTTCCAGATTTGGTGGCTGGTGGCAGGGAAGCAGAGGCCAGCAGAGCTGTCTCTGGGAGAGGGGTGCTGTGTGATGCTGGGAGTGTGTGGGAAAGGAAAGATGGCCAGCTTCTGGAGAATGTGTGTGACTCAGGGATGCACGGTGACGGGGGAGGAGATGGCACTGCCAAATGGGAAGCAAGAGGACTTGAGGTTCACACGCAGTCAGTCACCTCCCCTTTGCAGTGTCCTGTGCTAGCACCCGGCCAGAGCAACTGGTGGGCCCCTCACATTTCTGCACACACTCAACGTCTGACTGCAGAATGCCCTGTGATCTGGCCCTCCCCAAAGCTCCCTCAGTACTCAGTCAGTATTGTCATTGACAGAGAATCACCGTGAGGATGGGGTGGAAGGCATCAGGGTGAATATTTATGTTTTTGTCTCCCTCTCCACTGGAAAGGAGGGCTTCAGGTCCTGTATCCTACCCCGCCAGCCTGGCTCTGTGGGGAGGCAGGAGAATGGCCTTGTCCTTTCCTTCTCTTCACCAGATCTATTCTTTTCTCTTGCTTAGATTCTGGAATCTGCCAGAGCACAGGTTTCTCTTCAAGACCAGTGACAGCAGCTGGCTTGTGTTTGTCATAACAATAGTTACAGAATAAAATCTGAATACTCAGGATGATTGGGCACCCGGAGAGAGTGGTGATTCCCTTTCTTTTTTTAATAGTCCTTCCCTTGCGCTTGGCTTGCCGCAAAACCTGTCAGAGTCAGGAGGCTGGATTTGAGTGATAGTCCCATTTTCTCAAAAAGACCCAGGGAGCCCCTCTTCTGCCTTCTGAAAAATACAACAGAAAAAAGCCTGCATTCATTCATTTGACTCAGTTTAATTCCTAAAGGCCAGGGCTTTGCCACCTCAGGATGCTACTCCTGTAGATGCAGAAGCTTAGGAGAAAATAAGATGGGGCAAAACAAGCTTCTAGTGGCCCCTTGAAGTATTCTTGTGAGTGGAGTATTAAAATAAAAGGGACTTCACATGGGAAGAATGGCTTATTTTTTAGGGTTCTCCTCTTACTCAGTTGAGCAGAAGTTCTAGAGGAAGAGACTCCAGATGTGATTCCCGCAGGGCAAACGACAGAAACCACGGAGTCTTTGCTAAAGCGTCATGTTACAGTCCAGGGGTTTGAACAGTTAGAAGAGCAAGGTGCCTCCGACCATGTTAATTGTGTTTTTTTCTTCCTTCTTCCCCCTTTCACTTGCAGTTCCTGTTAGCTCCCGGACTGGACTTTCTTTGAATTCACTCGGTATCTGGAGTACCCGCTGGATGCCTAACCGTGGTACCTACTGGCTCCTTCTTTCTCTTGCAGGCGATGCTTCTTCACACACCTGTCCCACATGGCTATGTTTCACATGCTGAGGACCATACACTGTCCTGCCTGCCTGCCTGCTAATACAAATCATGCAAATCATGAGCATGGCAGGGTTTGATAGCTTGTGTGTTTATGTGCACAGCCATCTGGGAGGCTGTGTCCCTCTCTCTTAGGTGAATTTGTTCCTTAACTTCTCCTTCCTCACGCCATTTGAGTATATGATCTTGGCCACCATCATTGCCAACTGCATCGTCTTGGCCCTGGAGCAGCATCTTCCCGAGGATGACAAGACCCCGATGTCCCGAAGACTGGTATGTCTCTCTCCCTTCCACCTTCCCCCTTCTTCTTCCTCTTGCTTGCTTCCCTTCTACTTGGGTTTGTGACCTTCTCTTCTCCTTTACTCCCTTCCCTGTCTGTGAGGAGCTTGTTCCTTGCCAAGACAAGGGAAGAGCAAACCCCACTGGGACTCCTGAGGAAAAAGATCCTGCAGACACGTGTGTGTACCACATGGGAGCCAGGCAAGAAGAAAGGGCAGGCACAAAGCCATTTGCTTTATTCCTCTTTCCCCCGGGATTTCCCAAGTGAGAAGAAAAAGAGGACAAGGGAGAGAAGAACAAAGAAGCTCAAAGCTTTTGGGGTGGTGATCATAAACTCGCTAAATGCTGATGTCCATATTCTCCCCAAAGAAATGATTCATATGTCTTAATATATTCTCCCTAAAGAGGGCAAACAAATTGCTTAAAATCCAAGTGTGTGGGTGAGCAGTTCAGGCCTGATTACCTGGCCATGAGAGCTCTGAATTTCTAACTGCAGTGAAGACCGGGAATAGAAAGACCAGCTCCCTCAGGGCAAAGCCATCAGGGACCTGTAGCAGCGGGAGGAGTGTAGTCCCTGGTGTGACGCCACACATGTCTGTGTACTCCATGAGTCACAGTAAGCCTGTGGCCCCAGATGTCCCTTGGTCCCTCATTCCTCTCTCACTTTCTCCCCACAAGTGGGACTGGCCCAGTGCAAGCACACAGGAAGTGGTCAGAGCGTGTCTTGCTTGCATCTGGTAAGGAACAGCTCTCTTACTGGTGCTTTTACACCTTATCCCCACAGGAAAAGACAGAGCCGTATTTCATTGGGATCTTCTGCTTTGAAGCTGGCATCAAAATCGTGGCTCTGGGGTTCATCTTCCATAAGGGTTCATACCTCCGCAATGGCTGGAATGTCATGGACTTCATCGTGGTCCTCAGCGGGTGAGTCCCCTTTCTTGCTCTCCTTCTTTGTGTATGTGTAGTGTAGTGGCATATACTGTGTGTGTGTGTGTGTGTGTGTGTGTGTGTGTGTGTGTGTGTCTGTAGTGGCTGATACAGGTACCCTAGGGTGGAAAGACAGCAGAGTGTGGAGCAGACACAGAAAAAAATGTTCAAGGATGAGACTCCCTGTGGTGTTGTTGGACCACAGAGGACCCACTTCAAGAGGAGTGGGAGTGCCCTGTCAGATGTTTGTGGTATTGGACAGAGACCGTGAACTCTTGGGCAGGTCTGGACTCCTGTTCTGTGCTTGGCTAGATTGTTGAACCTCTGGGGAGGGAGCCTTTTTACTTCAGCAGGCAATTGCCCTAGCCTGACAGGTACTCCCGAGAGATGAACCAAAAGATACAGGTGAGTACAGCTTGTGTTGGGTTCTGGAAAAGACCCTGACCTCATTTTCTAAACTGATCATTAAATCTCATGTTCTGACAGCAGATTTTTTAATGATTTGCATATTTATTAATAATATAACACTGCATCACATAAAATGTTTAATAAGTAATTCCTTGGAAATTAATATAGTGATACTATCTTGGGGCTGATCTGGTGTCACAGTAATGCTAGTACATTTCTTAAATATCTAATAAAGCATTTTTGGGATATGACATAGTGAAGGACATGGGACTGACCCAGCACTTCCATGGCAGAGGGAATGAGCCTTGGCAGTGCTTGCAGTGGGCTTGCCACACTGCATTCCTGGGGCTTTGAGGGTCTTCATATCAGAGGGGTCCTGGAACCTTTAGGGAGGGGGAAGCAGTGCTGTGTGGACATGGCAGTTATGAGTGTGGTCTGGAAGTTCCCTCCTGCCTGGTCAGCATGAAAAGCTAAAGACCTGGGAGCGTGTCACCACCTTCTAACCAATAAAAGGAGAGGGGGAAAAAGAAGAAAGTTTTCTAAAGCATAATCAGGTAAGATAGGAAGTAGCCACGTCTGTAAAGGGCAAGGAATTGGGAACCATTGTCTTGTGGGGGAGACAAGCACTCATGTTTGACTTTTATACTTATTGTGGTTGAGTAACGGAAGGAGTGGAAGGTGTAAGGGATTGGGATAGAGCTTGAAAGCAGTGAACCCCTTAATACAGGGACTGGGTACCTCGATAGGAGTGACTCTTCATGTTTAAAGTCAGATGTTACCTTCTAATGAGATTTTCCTGGAGGTTATTTTTCTTAAAAATTTCTGCTGCAGGGTTTTGAGTATGATTTAGTACAAAAGGTGCATTTTGTACACAATATTATAGAAGTCCATTGTGAAAAATACAGCATGCTTGGATGATGTTTTAAATGTCTCTAAAATAAACATGTACTGTATAAGAAAAGGCCTAAGTGGGAATCTGAATCACTTAGAAATGCTATGATTCTGTCTAGAAAGTAAAGTGCTGTGTAGTTTGTAGTATTATTTGTCAAGATTGGTCCTGTTCAGACTACATGTGTCAGAGACCATTTGATTTTTCTTTTCTAGTTCATTTAGTTTTAGATGTTTATGTGCTCATTAAAGAAAATACAAAAATACATAAAAATTAAAAGAATAGATAAAAATCAAGAAGAAGAAGAAAATCGGTTCACTGATTAAGAAAAATTCTTCATTATTTTGTGGTATTTCTTCCCAGCCCTTTAGTGCTAAATAAGCTTTCTTTTTTTTTTGTCTTTTTCCTTTTTATCAGTACCAGGGATCAAACTCAGGACTGCCTGCTTGCAAGGCAGGTGCTTATGCCGCTGAGCTAAATCCCCAGACCCCTAAACAAGTTTTCTTTAAATGCCTGTAATTTTGTTGCCTTTCTCAACATAGTATGTGTCTATCACATGTTATTTATTCCATACTTTGATAAAAATTCTATAATGACTGGTCAGCACTTTGTTAAAGAGGTATATATAGCTTCTTTTTTTGTGGTTATTTGGCACTTAGATTGCTTTCTGTCTTTTGTAATAATAAATAGCTGTTAAAGATACTCCGGCATACATCTTTTGCATGTCACGCGTTACCCGTTATTTTGACAGGTTGAAATGAGTGAAGTACTCTGTAGCCATGGATGCCATGTAATGGGTTCAACCAAGCGTGGATAGAAAAGATTTGTGGAAAAATTGTGTCTGTTCTGCACACACATATACTTTTTGCCTTGTCGTTGTCCCTAGGGAGTACAGTATAGCAACTGGTTGCTCGTACATAGCATTTACATTGTAATGAGTATTGTAAGTAATCTAGAGATGATTTAAAATATGTGGAAGGGAGGATACACACAGGTTGTGAGCAAATACTATGCTATTTTATATAAGGTATCTGAGCATGCACGGACTTTGGTATCCATAAGATGTCTTGGCACAGATCTCCTGCAGATATCATGGGACAGTTGTACTTTATAGAGGAATCTGGTTGTTCTAGTGTGGGATCTGGGAACTATGATGTGTGAGAGGAGATGGAGGAACCAGGCCATCTGACTGGATGAGGAGGACCCTGGGAAGTGTAATAAGCCTTGCTAATGCTATTGAAGGAGCAAGATTGAGGGGATCAGCAGGAGCCATTTGCTGGCATGGCCAAGGCTCTCCACTCCTCAGCTGGATGTCCAGGGTGCAGATGCTGGATGACACTAGATCACTGATTTTGTCTGCCATGTCTGCCTCGCCTCTCCCTTTCCCAGAGGCTCTTTCCACTTTGCTGCCTCCATGGATAGCCTTGCGGGCCTGTGCTTTCCATCTGAACCTACTGGACTTTGTCTTGTGCCCTTCTAGTCGACTGCTTAGCCATCTGCCAGGCGCCCATGGATCTCTTTCTCCTTATCGTTCATATGGGAACAGGTGCAGACAAAGCGGTAACGCTTAGTTCCCTGCTGAGGACTGAGGCTTGTGGTTCTAACCCATGGGCATGAATAAGCATATTCAGTCTTGCTTTCACACTAGGTGTTCATCTACATTGCATCACTTCTCAGGTGAGAACCATCTCTGAGATCAGCCTGTGTCTTACAATAGTGGCGTGGCAGAGTTTAATTGATGGCATGTTTTATCTTTCTTTCCTACTGGTACATTAAATTTTGGGGCACTGTACAGTTGGGGTCTCGGAGTCAACAGAATATGTTGTAATACTAGCCTAGTGAAGGAGGCAGAGCAGAGTCATCTAGTACTTAGAGAGGTTAAGGCGTTTGCCATGTCACTTGCTTCCTGGTGGGACATTCTGGAGGTCAAATTGTACCCTTTGATCCAGAGCTGAAACCCTTTTCCAGGAAGCCCCCCTCCTGGCTGCACAGCACTCACCTTTTACCTTCCAGACACCTGCACCCACAGTTGTCCCTGCTGACAGCTCTTCCTTCCCACCTCATCTCCAGGTGTCACCTCACATCTTACTCCCGTGCAGAGGACGAATGACAGGTGCTGGAGCATGACACAGTGCCTCCAGGCTGAGTCTGTACATCTCAGCTCTGCAAGTGAGAGGTGGGTGGGGGTGGGGCAGGATGGGGGAGAGTGGAGAGGGAGGTAGGTGGCTCAGCACAGACCTTTGCCACCTTTTGCTCCCAGGGCCACCACTTGCTCCCTGCCACCTCTGATCTTCTCATGTTTAGTATTCTTAGTTTCTGTAGGTTGTGATTGCATTTCATGGTTTAGAAAGTACATTTATGTGTATTACTTCATCTAATCTTTATAATCCTATAGAAATGATTCTTTTAGCACATTTGCTGCTGCTACAACAGAATACCCGGAACTGGGTGATTTATAAAGAACAAGGGTTGTTTTTTACTCTTCTGAAGGTTCAGAAGTCTAGAAGCATGGTGCTGGTGTCTGGTGTAACATAACATGATGAAGGACATCACATAGTGAGGAAACATGTACATAGAGAGGAGAAATTTGACAAACGAATCCTTTCCTCAGGAGCCTATGACCTACCATAACTAACCCACTCTAGTGATAATGGCCTTAATCTGTTTGCTAGGGCGGTGCCCTCATGGCCCAGTGACCTCTGAAAGGTCTCATCTCTTTATACTGCTACAATGGCGATTAAATTTTAACATCATTTTTTTTTAGTATACGTTTATCCTATATAATAACCACATTTATCCTGGGAAATTGATGCATATTCTGCATGAGTTTCAGAGGGACTTTCAGGCCATACAAAGGATTTTATTTCTTTACTTTACAGATAAAGCAATTGAGGTTCATCAAGGGTATGCAGCTTGCTGGGAAGCGCCTGATCCAGGACTTGAGCCCACACCTGTAGCTCCAAGTTCTGATATTTTTCATTCCCACACTGTCGTTCACCTCACAACACCAAGTGCTCTGTAGTCCTAATGCTCTATGATTTCACATTCCTTTGGTTTCTGAGAAGCAGGTGTGTGTGGAAGAGAGGCAGGGAAGGTATAGTTAAACAAATGATTCCAGCTGGAAGCTGAGGCTGTACCTGTGATTTGAGCAGGTTAAGAGCCCGTGTGTCCTTCCTAAGACTTTTCTCTGTGGGCTTAGAATTAAACTCCCTGTTCTGTGGCGTAGAGGCATGTTACGTATCTCTCAGCATAACATGGTGTGATAAATAAAACTAGATGAGAAGATCCAGCTGATCATTTATTAATTGGCTTGTTTATCCATTTATTTATTAAGCAAAACTAGTTATTTTCAAATGCAAAAGTAAATGCTGGGACTGAGAAATACTCAAATTAATGTTTACATATCATAATTTGCTATTTTAAAAACTTTTATCTTTTAGAACTTGGGATCTCTTCTGTATTGATAAAAATTCAGGGTATGCTAATTTTTTTTTTTTTTTGATCTTTTTCTTTTTTATCGGTACCAGGGATCGAACTCATTACCACACACTTGCAAGGCAAGGCGCCTGTGCCGCTGAGCTAAATCCCCAGCTTCGGATATGCTATTTTTAAACATTTCTCAGCTGGCCTGAGTATTTCAAATTATTTGAAGTTGTTAATTGCTATTATATATATATTTTTTTTTGAGTTTTAATTGCTA